TCCTACCTGGCTGACAATACAGTTCAAGTCCTGGACTCGGTGGCTTGAAGGTCCAAAATCCCAGAGAATGGAGAAGGGACTGTGGCATGACCATCCTCCCTGAGGGGGGTGATTGCTCCCCCTGCCCGTCTCACTCTAGTGAGTGCATGTGCTGCATAGCAAAACTGGAATAAATTAATTTTTCAAAAAGGAAAAGTATAGTCATAAAAGATGTGCTTGAGGAGAGAACATGAATAGGGGAGGCATGGTGAGATAAGTTGAAGCAAGTGTGATATCAAATTCTAAGAATGAAGAAATGAAAACTATTAAACACTTGATTGTCACCATGAGCAAATCTACTTACTGTAAATGCTTCTCATGAAATGAGAATATTCCTTTTTAAAATTTATTTACTTATTTGTTGGTTAATAAGGAATGTGGCATTTTGAGCCATAAAGTCTGGTGGAAGTTGGAACTGTTTAGTAAAATACAGAAACTGGACACAGCAACTTTCTTTCTGAGAATTAGATAAAACAAAAAAGCTTGCTCCAGATACAGAAGGGACATAGTTCACCTCCGGAGTTTGGCATAAGGACATGAGGAATGTGTAGTTTTGTTTTTTTTTTCATTTCAAATAAAATGCATCTAAGGAGAGTATAGCTGACATGTAATCACTGTGAGTTCAAACTAAATGTGTTAATCTTGAAATAGCACTACTAGCAGATTTCTTTTTTCCTTCATTAAGCAATGACCTAGCATTGTTGCTTACAGAATCTGTCTCATATGTGAAATCACACATTTATAAACACTGCCTACAAAGGAAAAATATGTACCCTAGATGAGAGTTCCTGTAAACACATCCAGTATGCATATGGACCATGCTTCCCATTCTTTTTTAACTTCTGAACTGCTTTTCATTCCCATATACAATATATATAGTACACTATACTATATACTACATTATATATATAATATATAGCATACTATTTACACTGTATATATATTTATACAGAAGGGACATAGTTCACCTCAGGAGTTTGGCATAAGGACACGAAGAATGTGTAGCATTTTTTTTTCAACTTATCTCACCATGCCTCCCCTATTCATGTATGTGTATATATATGCATTGTGTGTGTGTGTGTGTATATATATATATATATATGTATATATGCACACACTACATATATATATGTATCTAGATATGTACACACATATGTGTATATATATATACACCTATGCTGGCTTTGCCAAGATGACTCTATTCTCTCTATATATGTATGTATACACACACACACACACACACACACACACATATACACATACACACACAATTTAGGAAAGGGTAGCATAAAAGATGTCCCAATATTACATATTTATGTGTGTGTATATAAATTAGAGAGAGAAATCTGATTCCACTGCATTCAATATGATTTGTCTGTATAAATTTTCATTAGCTAGGGCAAAGAGGCTCTATTTCATTTAACACATACACATTTCCTGTTTGTCATTTAATTCACACACACAGACCCAAGCATATACATAGGCACAAATAACAGAACAATGCTTTAAGTGTTGGACTTCTACAGATCAGTAGTGTTCTTTTAAGAGTTACACAAAATGTAAGATGGATACATTTTAAGTGTACATTAGGACAACCAAATAAAAACAATGATGTAACTCAAATATCAATGCTACTTATTTTCTAGTTTCTGAATCCATGAACATTGTTTTCTTCAAGCAATACATAAGATTCCCCGAGTTACCGCTAAAAATTAAAGAAAAGTAGAGATTCTGTTAAAGTGAGATTGAGATGGGTTCCTAAATGTTTTTTATCTACTTGAATGACAATATATTGTACCTAAGGTAAGAGCAATACATTCACTAACTTTAAATGCCTCCCCTTCTTTTACATAAGAAAATACAGGATTAATTTTAATTGATTCAATTTTATACTGAAAGAGAGGTATTTGTAGAAATACTGCCTCCTAGTGGTAAGATTCACTCACTTGTTTTATAAAGCTCTACAGTACAACATATTTGTTATGCTATTCTTCACAATTAAAAATTATAATTAGATAAGTGATCCAGTTAATTTTAGTTTCCTAATAAATACTTACAAGAGTCATATCATAATCTGTCGTGTGATTTACAAAGTTAATTCCTCTTATTAGTAAGACTGTAATAAATATTTCCTATGTGTAGCTAGTAGCAATACTAAGATTAAAAACAGAACTAAGCTAATTAGAAATGAACATTTTTGTTCCCTCAAAGTCCAAAAAATACACATACAAATGCCTGAGAGTGGCAGTGATCTTATAGAAGTGATAAGACATAAACATTTATTTAATAACCTGGTAGTTCTGTTTCTGAGTTATTGAATACTATCCACATGGTAAAACAGCAGATACAACTTCTTACTGTATTCTTTGGCACAGATAATCCAAGATCACAGGTAATTAGAAATCATTTTTATTTAATTTTGGAATGCTGTGGCACATGAAAAGTAGTTGTCTAAATTCTATAATTTTACAAACTTCAAACAAAATTATTCACAATAGAGAATTAGAAAATCACCAACCTTTTCAAGGTATGAAATTATTCCTTAATCTTTATTGTTATCATTAAACAAAATGATTTTTCACTTGAGTTTGGAATTTTTGTCCTATACTTTGTGTTAATGTAATCCCTGGCTGATAGAAATGAGGTATTTCATTTAAAGTAAAAGTATTTTATTAAAGTAAAAGATGTAAATAAATCAGGTATCAAGTTGTGGCAACCTCCCTACATATACCATAGTAGTGAAAGTGCTGGTTTATTAGCTGATACATTTAACTGAGATTAAACATCCTGAAGGCTACAACTTTTTTAATGTATAAATATCAGTATCTTAAAGTTTGACTGAATATATGACTAAAAGTTGAAAATAAAAATATAATTTAGATAGTTTCAATTAACTGTGAAATAGGAAAGGAGACTTGGAATCATAAAATGTGTGTTCAAATCTTACTTCATCACAAATTAGGACGATTTGGAACCCTGCCTCAATAAGGCTGCTTTCTCATCTGACTAAAATAGGTAACACCTGACCTATGTATTTCAGAGTAGCTGCAAAGGTAAAATAAGGTAATGCATGTGAAAGACCTTTGTAAATACCAAACAAATGTTTCTTGTTTTCCTACTACATATTCATGTAAGATAGATAGATAGATAGATAGATAGATAGATAGATAGATAGATAGATAGACAGACAGATAGATACAGATATAGGTATATATATATCTATATATATATACAAAAGAATAAATCCTTTAAAGATGGAACTGACAATTTATGTCATAATATAAATCAGTTTTTCCCAAATGAAAAATAGCTTAACTGCTTTTTAGCCTACAAATATATTCAAAAGACTCATCAAAAACTCCTTCTTCAAGAAATAGTCCCCAGTTTTTTCACTTCTCAACAAAATACTGTCAAAGTGTCCTATGCATCCTCTTCCTCATCTCACTGAAATCTGACTCAGCCACCTCCACCTAGTACAGCTTCAATAGGTTTAATCCTTTGGTTTCCTTTCTGTTCTCACTTTGCTTTATCCTTGAAGATTTCTTTTTGAGTACTTCCTACATCTATGCTGGCTTTGCCAAGATGACTCTATTCTTTTTTCCTTACTTTTATGATTAATTTATTTTTTACTGGCTCACTTGATCTTCAAATATAAGTGTTACATGAGGCTTCATCCGTGGACCTCCTTTTTCTCACTTTAATTTTCAATCTGCTCTAATAGGCTCAGGCATCATCTCTGCATGGTCAACTTTTAAATCTATGTTTTTATCCTAGGCTCTCTCTTAAATTATAGATCTATATTTTTCATTTTCAACTAAACATTTCCATCTAGATGCACTTCATGTTGTGTAAAGTCAAATTCATCCTTTTCCCTGTACTAACATCCACCACCCTTTGTTACCACTCTTGGTAGTTAGCTAAGCGGAAGTCACCTCTTACTATCTATTGTAGTAACAGGACCTATTGATCCTGTCTCTGAAGTCTGATCCTGTCTCTCATCCTTCTATTCCTTTCTCCATTTTAATTTCTACTGCCTTCATCAGATAGTCATCATTTCTTTTCGACATATTCTGACCTTCTTTATCTAGTCTCTCTGTTTTGATCTCTTAAAATTGAATCCACCCTATTAAATATGATGCTAAGGAAATAAAAACACTTATTATTTTAATGCCTACTCATTGTCTAGAGAATAAACTCCAAACTCTTTGACATAGCATTTGAGACCCTTACTAATCTGTCTCCAACCTGTTTTTCCAGTCCTAAATCCTGCCCACACCCTTCTCTTTCTAAAACATGTTATGTACCTACACAGTTTCAAGTTCTAGTTCCTGCTGTTCCTTCTACCTGTTATGACTGTTCATTTGTCAAAAGCCTGCACATCTTACTGGCCTGTGTGATTTTCTCTGTAATACCTTCTCTATCCTGACTTCTGGGTAAAATTAATTCCTCTGTGCTTTTCTACTGCTATAAAATAATAAAATTTAAGGCCAGTTTCATAGCCTAGTGGTTATGGAAGCCAGAATCCCATGGCTGACTACGGTTTGAATCCCAGCTCCAACAGCTAGAAAAACACACTGGACTCACATGTATGTGTGCCCCAAATACTATTAGGACAGAGAAACAGAGGAAAATGGATTGCAACATGACCATGGACGTGCCCACACTCCATTTCTTTCTCCCTCTCTTTGTCTCTGGCTTTCTTTGGTGAGCACACATACCCTTTGGCAACTAAGAAAAACAAAACAAAACAAACAAACAAACAAAATAGAGGCCAGCCAGTTGTATGCTGGTTTGGATAGCTGGATCCCACATGGCCCACTGAGTAGTTTGAGTCCCAGACTTGGAGGCTTGAGAGACCCACCAGGTGTGTGTGCATGTGTACTCAAAATCCTAAGAGAAAAACAGAGAAGGAAGGCCATTCCCTCTGGTGGGGTGATTTCTCACTCCTCCCCATCTCCCCATATCTTTCCTGTCAAGCACACATGCCTCATAGTAAACACTAAAAAATAAATAAATAAATAACAAAAGTAAAATACAAGTTGTAGAATTGTTTGTCTCCACCACTTCATTAGGGGAAAATAAAGATCTTATTCATTTTGAGTCACCTATGATTAACACATGGTCTTATAAATAGAAGGTACCTAGTAGATACGGAACTGAACACCATTCCTGATTTATGTAATATGTAGGGAGAACAAACTTTAGGAAAAATCTTCATTCATAAAACATACTAGTTCTATCGTACTCATGTTTTGCCAATTATTATTAGAATTAAATAAAAATCATTTGGCTTTGGAAAATAGGGAAAATATATACTAAAGATGAATTATACACTGTAATTCTTCAGGTTGCAAGTAAATCAAACAGCTAAATCTTTTTGCAGTCAGTTTTGAAGGAGGCAGGAAACGTTTCTGAAAAAATCCAGTCACATATCTGTAAAATACATTGCAATAAAATATGAGAGCTTTATTGGTGGTATTAGATATCAAGGTAAGAATAATAAAGTCTATTCATTGTAAAGACTAAGAATAATATAAATTCTGCTAAAAGTTACCTTATGGAAAAATTACACATATGCTAAAGAGGCAGCACTAAATTACCATCATGAAACATTTGTGTGTGACTCTGGTAAATATTATTATAAAGGAATTACATGTGATCTTGCTCTATGACTGTAGATCAGATGTCAACAATACATAGTCTATAGTCTATAGATCAACTCTGGCCCTTCACCTGTTTTTATTTTTATTTTTTTAAGAATTATTTTATTTAGGGACCAGTAGTTAGTGTAATGGCTATGTCTCTGAACTGCCATGTAGCCGACTGCGGTTCAAGTCCCAGACCCGGTGGCTTAAACTCATGCTGAGCGCATGTGCGTGCATGCCCAAGATCCTGAGAGGAGAATGGAAAAGGGACTGCAGCATGGCCATACCCCCTGGGGGGTGATTTCTCGCTTTTCATCTCTCTGTCTGTCTCTTTCTGGCGAGCGCACGTGCCCTCTGCCGAGCGCACGTTCCCTATAGCAAAAAACCTCTTAAAAAAAAAAAGAAAGACTTATTTGGGGCCAGCAAGTGGCATCGTGGTTAAAGGCACTGGACTGCCACATGGCCGACCACGGTTCAAGTCTCAGACCTGGTGGCTTGCTTTCTCAATTCCTCTCTCTCTCTGTCTCTCTCTGATCAAACTGGAAAATAATAATGATAATAATAAATAAAGTTAAATAAAATAATTCTTTAAAAAGAACAATTATTTAACTTTATTTATTTATTTTAATTTGACCAGGAGGGTTGGGGGGGAAGGGGGAAGGGAGAGAAAGAGGGAGAGGAAGAGAATGAAAGGGAAAGGGAGAGAGAGAGAGAGAGAGAGAAAGGGAGAGGGAGAGGGAGAGGGAGAGAGAGCAAGCTTCCAGGTCCAGGATTCAAACTACGGTCAGCCATAGGGGAATCCAATGCCTCTAACCACCATGCCACCTGCTGGCACCCCTTCAGCTGATTTTTGTAAGTAAAATTTTACTGAAATACAGACACACCCATAATTCTGTATCATCAATGTTTTCTTTTGCTCTACAATGGCAGAGTTAAGTGGTTGAGACAGATTCTGTATGTCCCACAAAGCCTAAAATATCAACTATTTAGTCTTTTAAAGAAAAGTGTGGCCAATTTCAGCTATATATATTCAGTTGGAAATCTAGTAGAAAACTAAGCCAGTCTCTATGTATGGAACTCCTTATTATTCTAAAATTTAGAATCTTTATGCAAAGATCTTAAAAAATTTTAATGAAGAGTATGAGGATGTTATAATAGGAAATGTATAGATGCCAAGTCTAAAGGAAAGATAAAAGACATACATACAAGATTGTTTAAAAATTAAAATATTTTATTTTTATACTTTTGTTTTTTAGAGGTTTCTGCTTTAGGGCACATGTGCGTGCATGTGAACAAGAGAGAGAGAGTAAAAGAGAAAGTGAGAAATTACTCCCTGGGGGGATAGCCACACCACAAGCCCTTTTCCTCCATTCCCCTCCTGGGATCTTGGACATGCCTGGCATGAATTTTAAGCCACCAGGTCCAGGATTAGAACCACAGTTGGTCAATGGAAGTCCTGTGATGTAACTGCTACACCATCTGCTGGCCCCTTATTTTAATACATTTAATATAAGCCACCTTGATTATTTTTCATTAGCTAGGAAAAGGAGTCATGCTCTTTACAAGAGAGTTTGCTATTAAAATTGAACTTATTTTGTCACTAAAATGTTGCAAAAGAAGTGAAACTTAATTCTTCCTGTGGGAATAAAGGACTAAACTTAAATAAATAAAATTATTTTAAATAATTAGACAAGAAAAGAACTGAAATAGGAAGGCAAGAAGAAGATGGGGAAAGAGAAACAGGAGAAAGAAAGGGATAGGAGAGAAGAAAGATTGGAGAGAAAAAATCTACTATACCTCATTATCTGATTGATATGAAGCCGATCTGTGTACCAAAATTAAGGCCATCACGGACATGAGAGAAAAACTTGTCAGGATGGCAGGAGGTACAGAGGTTGAGCTCTTGGTTCAGGTCCTCAATATTCTGTGGAAGAATACCTCCTTGTTCTAGAAGAATCCTTAGGATAAAGATTTTTCAAAAGAGAACAAGAACTTATTTTATCAATATTTAAAGCAATATAAAAAAAGTAGGAATATTGGTGTGAAAGAGCTCCAGAAAAAATCTGGTTGGAAAAAAATGCAAATTGCTATTCACTTACAGAATATGGGCCAGTTAGATGGTTCATATTGATAGTTATGATAGATTTTATGCTAATTTTTACTTGAATTCATATGTAAACTGAACTACCTTCCATATTATCCTGCAGACATGATATGGATACAGAATGTCATGATCAAAATCAAGTACTTATATAAGAAGAAACTTCTAAAGTTACCAGGGTATTCGTAGATAAAATTCACTTGTTTCGGAAGCCTATTTTTAAGTCATCTAGCCCTCCTATTAACAGCTATTTCACTGAAAACTTGTTTCTCTAAAGACATGTTATGAAATGAAATATGACTATACATTAGTGATTTCACAAGTCACATTTAAAAATCAATTTTGAAGACCAGCAAATGGCATAATGATTATGTTGTTGGACTCCCATGTAGTCAACTGCAGTTCGAGTCCCAAACCTAGTAGCTTAAAACTCACACTCGACGTATGTGTGTGTGTGTGTGTGTGTGTGTGTGTGTGTGTGTCTCCAAAATCCTGAGAGGAGACTGGAGAAGCGATTGTGTCATGGCCATCCCCTCTGGGGGGGTGATTTCTCACTTTCTGTCTCTCTGTCTCTGTGTCTCTGGCAATTACATGCACACTACAGAAAAATTCTCTCTAGGGACCAGCAGTTGGCATAATGGCTATATTACTGGACTCCCATGTGGTCGACTACGGTTCAAGTCCTGGACCCTGGTGACTTGAACTCATGCTGGGTGTGTGTGCCTGCGCGCCCAAGATCCCAAAAGGAGAATGGAGAAGGGATTGCAGCATGGTCATCTCCCCCCTGGGGGGTGATTTCTCACTTTCTGTCTCTCTGTCTCTCTCTGTCCTTCTGGCAAGTGCATGTGCCCTATAGAAAAAACTCTTAAAAAAAAAAAGAAGAAGAAGAAGAAAAGGAAAGGAAAAAAAAAGAAAGAGAGAAAAGGAAAAATTCTCTCTCTAAAAAAATTTTGATCCTTTCTACTTACATACTAAAAATGAGGCAAAATCTGAGTGAGGTTTAACTGACTGGACTAGAAACACCATTCAAATCAAGAATTGATTTTCCTTTGTGAAATGACAGATAATTTTCAGGACCAGCAGACAGCACAAGGGTTACATTGGTGGACTCCCATGTATTAAACCACTGTTCGAATTCTGGACCAAGCAGCCTAAAACTCACACCGGAAGCCTGTTTGTGGGTGCCCAAAATCCCAAAAGGAGAATGGAGGAGAAGGGATTGCAGCATGGCCATTTCCCTGAGAAGTTGATTTCTCACTTTCTGTCTGTCTCCCTCTGTCTCTCTGGTGAGTGCAAGTGCCTTACAGCAAAAATCTCTACTAAAAAAAAAAAAGAAAAGACATATTTTTCAATAGATAGTAATAGCAAAAATTTATAAATTAAAAAATGCAGATCATAAAAATTCAGAAGTGTGTTTATAATACCAATATTTTTGCTAAAATATATTCCTCTAGCTTAAGAACAATTTTAAAATATTGGCTTCCTGTTGTTTATATTAAGGAGAGCTTAGCTGAGAAATATGAAGTTAAATACATGCCAATTTGTCTATATGAATTTTAAGTAGGTCTCTTAAAACTAAATGACAACTGTTTCTTCCTTTACTTTTAAATCAATCAGAGATACTAGACAGAAAAATTTATTATCCAAACTTAAATGAAAATAGATTTCATATTTAAAAAGAGTTTTTGTGTACATGTATATGTCAGCTACCTAAATGCAACCTGAATTTTTCTTAGAGTTTCTGATTGTAACTAAAATGATTTTCATTTTAGAAGCAATAAACATAACCAAAGTTGCATTTCCTGAATGAAATCAAACATACCTGGTGGCTTTACGAATATCAACATAGGGATTTGGTGAGTTAAACAATCTTACACATGCAGGATGAAGATTATGAAATGCTTTTGCTGAGTCTCTTGGAAGAGTAAAACAGCAAGGTCCAACTGCCGGTCCAAGAATAACAATAATGTCTTCCACACTGCAGCCATATTCTGCTATCATGGCATTTACTGTAGCCATTGCAACGCCTAACAAAGTACCCTTCCAACCTAGTAAATTGGAAGAAAAAGAGATAAGAAAAGTAAAAACATAGCAAAAGTTCACTTAAATTCTGTGTAAGTTAAAAATGAGCAGGTATGGTTTATATATATATACTTTTTTTTTTTTTTTTTTTTTTTTTACTTAGAGGCTTTAGCCACCATGCCACCTACTGGCTTTCAATGTTTATATATATTTTTTTTTTTTTTTTTTGAAAGGGTTTTTTTTTTTTTTTTTTTTTTTTTTTTTTTGCTATAGGGTGCAAAAGACGTATAGAGACAGATAGAGAAAGACAGAGAGACAGAAAGTGAGAAATCACCCCCCAGGGGGGATGGCCACCCCGCAATCCCTTCTCCTCCATTCTCCTCTAGGGATCTTGGGCACACATGCACATGCGCCCACTGTGAGTTTTAAGCCACCGGGTCCAGGACGCGAACCACATTTGACTACATGGGAGTACAGCGACAGCCATTACGCTAACTACTGGTCCCTATATTTTTCAAAGTCAAGAGATCGTAAGCGAATTTGCAAAATTAATTATTACATTATAGTATGGTTTCTAAATAAGATACAATAAACAAAGCACCTGATGCAAAAGAGATGTTTAATGAAAGTTCCCTTCTACTTCTTTCTAAAAAGGTTCTACCCTTTTAGTTTTCACTGGGATTAGAGATTCTTAATCTTGTCTCACCTTTTCCTGTCCCCTCACTTCAAAAACTGCAGGAAAAAACCCAAAAAACAAAAAACAACCAACAACAACCCCCCCCAAAAAAAACAAAAAAACACATAAAATTTACCATTTTAACTTTTTTATTTCTTTCTTTTCCATTTTTTTTTTTTTTAATTTGCTTTAGGGTTTGAGCACTTGCTAAAGAAAAACAGAGTGTGAGAAAGCACACTAAAGCAATATGGTCATCTTCAAAGAATACTACAGTTAAGGACATGTAGTTATTTAACCTACATACAATTTTCCAAATCTAGCTTACTTTTTCTTACCTCCCTAACTTTGCACATCTTGCTCTATCTGTATAAACACTGTTCTGCAACACTCCTACCATTCCTTTTCACTGCTGCTTGGCCTTCAAGGGCGGTTAACCAGAGGAGGTACCATACCCATAATGAGTGTTCAGGAAACCAGTATTTTTGTTGTTTATTTATTTATTTTGTCATTATAATGACTGGGTGTGCTATTGCCATTACACATTTTGAGGACCAAAGATACTTTGTCTGCATTATAGGATTATCTTGTCCAAAATGTTAATAGCACCTTAGCTGAGGCCCTTAGTCAATTCCTACAGATTCCTCAGGAATCAAACTAGGGAACATCTCCTTGGAGAATTCTACTCTGAATCATATTATTTCACTTAGATTCTCCTATCTGCTTCTATAATACACGTATGCGGCCCTACTACATTGCACTTACCACAATGTAATGTAATTAACTGTCATGTCCACAAGAAAAAAATTATCATTTTTTTTCCTGTACTACAAAATTACTAAATTTCTAAATGTTCAATTAAGTATACTTACCAGAGTGAGCAACCCCACATGCTTTTTTGACAGGATCTGCAAAAACTATGGGTATACAGTCAGCACCAAGAGCTGCTATTGTGACGCCTCTGTGATTTGTGGTTATACCATCATAAGATTCAGGCTCATTTCTTCCCATAACCCAGACATCATTGGCATGATCAGTCTAATACCAAAGACATATTATAAAAATGTTTTGAAAGTGAGATTTCTCATACCATAAGCTTTTCGGAAAGCACTAATTTCAGTACAAAATTATATATCCATGCAAAATTACCAGCGTTTGTTAAATATATCACTTCTATATATCTCTACTTACAGCACTTTCCACAAAGTAAAAATTTAACGTCCTTATTGCAGAAAGTTAACTACTAAATTAATGTTATTTTTACTTTTCATCCACCAAATAAAGCTAGAATTTTATAAAAAAAAATACAAGACATTCTAACTAATTATGATACTGGTTCTTTCTTAGTGTTGATTTAGAAAGTAACAGCCTTTTTCTTCCACCACTCAGTTACTTTCCTTCTAAATCAAAAAGTATTATACTATTATACTCACAGCATTATACTGCGAATTAACTGTATTTTTAAAATTGAGGGACTCCAGATAAAATATATATATCATAGAATTAATCCTTAAGTCTACGGTGTTTAAATCTAAGAAAAACAATCACACCAGTATTCTAAAATTTTAGTTAAAACAATAGATGCAAAAGTTAAACAGATAAGTTAAAGTATGTGTAGTTACTGGAAGTCAAAAATATTCATTAGATCTTCCTAAATATGAAGCAAAATTTTACCTTTATTCGGTAAAATTTTTCCACATTAAATCCTGCAGCATTCGCCAATCTACGCAGATTTTCTTGAACAACTACCTTGGGATCTCTTCGTTTGGAACTACTGAAGAGATTGAATGAGCTAAGAGTTGGTATATAAGATATCCCACCTGTTCTTGTAGTAAATCCATGAATGAAAGAATCTGTTGAGGATAAGTAGTGAATGATAAAAATATACTATACAAAAGATTATAAAGCAATAAAATCCCTAACCTTTCAATCAGAACATTCTTGAACACTGCAACCTGTCCTCATTTATCCGGCCTCATAATTTGGATAGCATTTTATACAGCCCTATGTTCTTATTACACACTGTTTGTGTCTGTCTTACTACCCCTGTGGGATGATTGCTCTTCTAAGGCTATCTTCTGTCTCATCTGTCTTTACTACACTCAACAGCATATAGCTCACAGTAAATACCACGTTTAAACAAGAAGATTGTTTAAAACTCTTCTGTGAAGGTGTCAATGAGTTGAAGTTTCAGAATTCCAAAACACTAGATTTTCAGGGTCATAAATTTCACTGTAAAGGAGGGGATTTGTTTTAAGGCTGACTTTGCATAAAGCAAATGTATTTGTTTAGACTGGTTTTGAGTCATGTCTTGACACCATTGACAACATAAGGCCATCCATAACACCCCCAATTAGCAAATGATGCTAATAAAAAAAAAGCACACAATAGTCAACAAAAGAAAGGGGGAAAAGATGAACAACTTCAGAAGTTTTTGTTTTTGTTTTCCATGTACACAGTAAAAACAACAGATCGCATTTGAAATACCTGGGATTAAGGGAGATGTAATAATAGTTAATTCTCCTTTCAGTGCTGGCAGACTTCTCAAATATGTTTCTATTTCATTCTGGACTTCTACTTCTGGAGCTGTGATTATGTTTATTTCAGTGTATTGTTTCAAAAGGCCTCCCTTCAAAGTCATTTGTAAATCTTCAAATTCAAAATTGTAAACATCAGTGAAGAGTTGATCTATAAAAGCCTTCATCAGTGTCTTCCTGTGCCTAGGTAGAATGACCTTAATGCTGCTCAGGTTTTTTTCATCAATTTTTTGCTTAATGGTATACAATGAAGCAGCCATGCTGGGATTGCTAACTGTCTCAAATTCTCCCAGGAGACCTGATAATCCATTGCTTGTTTCTAATTCACAATGATCCTGTTCACTATCCCTTTCACAGCTGATGTTATTGCAACACATTATGCAAACGAACTTGGCCTTGGCAGCTTGGTGGTACTGGACTGCATTCAAAGTCTTCAGTAATGTATGATGGCAGGTTTTTTTAGAGTTTAATTTCAAATCAAAGAGATCAATTAAAACTGCTTCTGCCATCTTTCAATACTATACAAAGTTCCTCAAGGAAGACTCTTTGTGCCAATCAATCTGTAAAGAAAAATTAACATAAGCATACAAACTTGTGTCACTTTCCCACTAGTTACTACATAAATTTGTGGTGGATAAAAAAAATTTTCAGGGAACCAGCAGATAGCGTAATGGCTATGTCGCTGGACTCCCACGTAGTCAACCGCGGTTCGTGTCCCGGACCCGGTGGCTTAAAACTCACGCTGGGCACGTGTGCGTGTGTGCCCAAGATCCCGAGAGGAGAATGGAGGAGAAGGGATTGCGGCGTGACCATCCCCCCTGGGGGGCGATTTCTCGTTTTCTGTCTCTCTGTCTCTCTCTGTCTGTCTGGAGAGCTCACACGCCCTAGAGCGAAAACCTCTCCAAAAAAAAAAAAAAATTTCAATGATTAAAAATATAACCAATGGGGACCAGCAGGTGGCCTGGAGGTTAAGGTGCTAGACACTCCCACATGTTAGACCATGGTTTGAGTCCTGGACCTGGTGGCTTGCTTTCTCACTTCCCCTCTCTTTCTCTCTGTGTGTGTCTCTCTCTCTGTCAAATTAAAAATAAATAAAGGAATAAATAAAATTAAATAAATGTCTTTTAAAAAAATTAAAATGTAACCAAAATAGTAAATCTAAAACCCCCTTCCCAGAAAAGATAGTCCATTGTCATAAGAGAATTGTGACCAAAGCAAACCATTTTTAACTCATTTGAGGAAATTCGGTCCACCTTCCAGCAGAACAACAGTCCCTCTGTTAGGTTTTCATTATACACCGTCTTTAGAGATTTACTTGTCGTCATAGACTAAATTCTGTTATCTAATTACAGGGTATCAACCCATGTGATATATCGTAAGTTCTGACATAACTGTCATACTAAGTCACAGTCCTTCACATGAAGTACCAGAGCCTTATATTCGTGAGGTTAAACAGAGATGCACCTGAAAGGCGCCCTTTACAGGATTCCCGTACCAGCTGAGAGGAAGGACGGCGTTCCCTGCAGGATAAACGCAGTCCACCCTGGGCAACCGTCAAAAAAGTTCCCGGATTGGGACCAGACCAGCGTCCCACCTCCCTTCTTGGGCACCCCCCCCAACTGCGCCCCGATTTTCTCCCTTCCAGCCCAGCCCTCCACCCGGGCTGCGATTGTCTCTCGGGTCTCCCTTGTCCCTGACGGTCTCCTGTACCCGCTCGC